CCGGGCTCGGCTGGCGGGCGGTCCCACGTCGCACCCAGGAGGTGGGCGGGACCCGAGGGTGGGCGGGCCACCCGGCCGTTCCCAGGCGGAGGAGGGGCGGAGCCGGGGCAGGCCTGCTGGACAGCAAGCCACGCCCGGCCGGCCCGGATGGTAGGGCCACGGCTTCTTCCTCTTTTATTTCCTCGCGTCCCTACCCAGGCAGGAGCTGCTCTTCTGGGACGTCCCGATCCGCTTAAGGCCGAGGCAGACGTGGTGACTCGCTGGCCTGCGCAGGTAGGGGAGCCCTCTGGAAGAGGGAAGGAGGGAGGAGGTTGCCCCTTGTCTGGGGAGGTGCTCGGGACGGGGAGGAAACCACAGGGCTGGGGCCAAGGCTGGTGTTGGCTGCCCCAGCTGAGCTGTGGGCTGAGGCCAGGAACAGTCGTTCTCTCTGGCTCTTCTTACCCGTAGCCCTTGTGGTGGCCCCTAGCCCCAGAGCCTTCAAGCATGCTGGTGCCAGCCCAGGGCTGCCCAGATGCTCAAATATGTCCCCCAAAAGGCACCAGGGCAGCGAATCCAAACTAGCATGAGTGACAGAGCAGGTGCTCGGGGAGAAAGAGGCATCAAGGCCAGCCAGGAGGGAGCCACTGTGACAGGGAGACAGAGAGGAAAGAACAGAAAGGTTGGGAGCCGAAAAACAGGTAGAGGTTAAGCGAGGCCGAAAGAGAGCCTGAGGGGATACACGGGGCTGCGGAGAAAAGCAGCAGAGGAATCTGAGCCTCAGGCGCCCAGCAGCCCTCAAGGTCAGGATGAGCCCTACCTAAAGATACACTCAGAGAGGTGAGCCGGAGGAGGAGAGCTCCAGCTGGCAAGATGAGAGCTGGCGGATGGTGGCAAGGGTGGAAAAGAGGCCCCATCACGCATCACAGTGGAGGGGCATTTGCCTGTATCTGAGATCACGTTAAGTACATACACCCTTGGGAGTCAGCAATCAAGCCAATGGAAGTGGAAAGCACTCGCGCCTCCCCCGGCCTGGCTGCATCTGCCGTGA